CCTGCCTCAGCCTCCTGAGTAGCTGGGATTACAGGCACGCACCACCATGCCCAGCTAGTTTTTTGTATTTTTAGTAGAGACGGGGTTTCACCATGTTGACCAGGATAGTCTCGATCTCTTGACCTTGTGATCCACCTGCCTCGGCCTCCCAAAGTGCTGGGATTACAGGCTTGAGCCACCGCGCCCGGCCCACACAGAGACTTTTACCTCAGTCAGGTGATCTTCCTGGCCGCGGTGTGTATGTTCTATAAGAAAAGAACTGCTCTAATTTATCCATGTATGCCCTCACATTGTTTTTCAAACAGCAGGCACCCCATGAGTATCTACTGAACAGCACCAAGCATAATAAGTTCCTTTCTTACCATTTCAGAAATAAATTGCAAAAGAGAAAGATAAGTACCTCACTTTATGTCAATTTTTAACATTAGCCATCAGTCGCTTTAATAAAACTGTCTATTGCCTACTCAAGGCACTAATGTGACAGTCACTCTAAGTTTATTGCCAAATTCAGGGTTTTCCCAGTTCTACCACAGTGAAAATTCAACCTCTTAAGTAACAAGATGACACAAACACGTGTAATTCTGTAACAAATACTTCCCTCAGGGTTGCTACTGTTAGAAAAATTAGACTAATGCTTTGGATCATTTTCAATACCCACAGCACAGCATAAATTTCAATATGCAAACCTGATTAATCAGAATAAAAATCATATTAACATATAGACCCACCTAGAGAATAATCTTAAAATGTAGAATTGTAGGTATTAACTTTCCAGGTAGTTAGAGAATTCAGTGAATATTTCCCACTTACTCTGACTCCAAGTAACTGCAGTTTTTACTACATTTCAAAAGTAAAGTTTGATGAGAGAAGAAAAAAAATTTTTTAAAGCAAGAGGAGCCAGGCGTGGTGGCTCACACCAGGAATCCCCGGATTCTGGGAGGCTGAGGTGGGTGAACTGCTTGAGTCCAGGAGCTCTGAGACCAGCCTGGGAAACATGTTGAAACCCTGTCTCTATAAAAAATACAAAAATCAGCCATGCGGTAGCGGTGCTCACTTGTAGTCCCAGCTAAACTCAGGAGGCTGAGGTGGTAGGATCACCTGAGCCCAGGAGGCAGAGGCTGCAGTGAGCCAAGATGGCACCATTGCACTCCAGCATACGCTACCCAGTGAGACATTGTCTCCAAAAAAAA